GTATGTATTATATACATAACCTACCGGTATTCTAGAGGATACTGCAGTTATATTCTATGTGATGTTCATGTATGATACGTTTTGTGACATGTCATGAACCGTTTGTTTTGTTAATGTATTTTGCTCACGGCCTGTTATTAAGTATGAATTCAAAGCTATTATTGTGTTATAGTATGTGAGTATGTGTGTATAGACAGATATACGGATCACGCCAATCGCGGCAGCAGCAGCAGCAGAGTCTGTTGCTTCAGGTTCCTTCCGATCGGAAGGTGATCTGCACCGTGCCGGCTCCTTTTCTCATTTTTTCGAAGGTCCATGGAAGTAGGCGTTTCAGAAAATCGGGGACCCCTGATTCATAACCGTAGCAATAACAGCATCCATGGCAGTCATTCTTATATGGACCCTCGTGTCAGGACCCTGAGATAGGAATACGTAGGGAGTCTAGGGTGTCACGATGTGCGTGAAATCCTTTAGCAGCTGCGGGAACTGCTCGTGTAGACCTGCTCAGGAAGCTGGGGTTTGCTTTCGCACAGTGGCCTAGGATGTCGACAGCGCGCTGTGCATCGGATTGGCGGACCACGATGGCGTGTCATGGACAGACCATGCGGTTGCATCTTTTGTTCCAGACGTCTTGAGCTTCTATATGGGGATGCAGAGACTGCTGGAGAATGCCAAAGCCCGCGCACGCCATACGGAATTCCGAAGCCCGTTCCAAGACTCGAAGCTTAGCCCATCATCCGCCACCATAGGCGTGGATTCCCTAAACCTGCATGTTTGAGGACTTATATAAAGGTATCACGGCCGAGACGGTAGCAAAAGCAAGACGCCCCAACAAATCTCAAGATAAAAGTTGAAGAACTGACATCTACGTGCGATGCAATGCAGCCGATAAGTTCGTTCCTGACGGATGATGAAGAACTTTCATGACGGTTGAAAGGCAAGGGCATAAAGAGACAGCTTTCCTGGACTTGCAGGCAAGCCCCAACGCACCTGCCAGTGTCTGTAAACGCGGACATTTTAATTCGGTAATTATATCATACCTCATTTTGGAGGTCCTTATGTTAAGGCAGTGTACAGGTCTCTATTCACAATTCATTTAGGGTTCCATAATCAAACCAGTGTCCGTCGTTTTCTGAAGTCCCAGCTGAAAAAGGTCGCTAAGCCAGACCTCAGCACCTTTGGCCGCTACGCGACGCCCTTGCCCGGAGGTCCGGGCCTCGCAAAACTGTTTTAGTGTTTGGGTTAGGTACTGCCCCCATACAGTAATAGTCTACCATAGGGTTACTATCAAGGTAATATATCTATATTATGAATATTAAAACTCAACTATTACCGAGTGGGGGCCGCACCCAAGGTTTGGGGATGTTTGGGGCTAGAGGTGTAGGGTTTTGAGATGTCTCCGTGCTTTGACAGGCTCTTGGTTTCTCAGAGGTTACAGGGGCTATGAAAGCTGCATGGTAGTATATCCCTAGTAGATTCAGGAACATGAACTTTACAGGCGATGCATCGGCAACAGTAGCGAGGGTTTAGGGTTTAGGGTTTGGTGGGCATGATGACTCATCGTTACACCAATCTTCATGTTGTTGCAGCTGCAGCAGCCTGCAGAAGCATGATTCGGAGTCTTGGGCACCTGCGTGATGGTGCGGTTCACGGTTCCGGGCCTGTGCCTGACTAGTGTAAGGCATCGGAATCCTAAACTGCTATCACTCATGAGGTCGACAAGTGTAGAAACCAGGATCAGGGCTTGGGGATGCAAGCTCGAACTGCGAGATGTAGGATGTCATGGTGAAGGGCCATCGGCACTTCGTTTCCCACTGCTTATTTGTTGAGTAGCTGTTGTTCATCGTCGCTAGGTGCTGCACTTCGGGCTGCAGACTTTAGAAGGCATATATATATATATATATATCGGAAGCGGAAGCTCCGGACGTGAGCGACCCTGAACCACCAGGTAAGATTCTGTCGCAACTCCCTCTCACCCCAGCAGAAAGACAGCCAGAGGTTGGGGCCTGGGTACCAGTGAAGAAGACCAGTGCGCCTTGGTCCCACAGTGTCGTCCGTTTACATCGGCCTTTGTTTTTTTTGTCAGGTTGGTTCTGTGACACACTGAGCTTGGTTGTGCGAAAGTTTGTTCTGCGAAGACATTAGCTGCAGTAGAAAGCTGACAAAATGCTGGGTACCGGGCGTAGTGTTCATGTGTTCGTCACAAGTGTAGAAGCAGATGAGCAGCATGCCAAGTTCACACCCTGAGTGCAAAGTTGCCCTGCAGAGAAGGGGCGAACGAATCCCGCAACGGCCGTTTGCGCTTGCTCCAACCCTTGTCGAGAGACTTTTATCCTGAGGGCTTGGCAATCACCTTTTATGTTCGGGGTGCCTAGCTAGTGACTTGAACATGTGGTCCTTCCCAAATCTAAGCCCTGCCCTGTGGGTGCGGGAGGAGAAAGGGCACAAAACCTAGTCGGCATTGCCACACACAGCTTCAGCCTCTGCTTGCCAATGGGAAAACAGCAGAAGCTGACAGATGCTAATGCTCAAAGGGGAAAAGGAGGGACCCTTAATGGGGACCCCTACCCTATAATGGGCTATATAATGGGTATAATGCATCAAGTCCAAAGCCAAGCTGTTTCGACTGTGATGCAGAGATCTGCATGCCGCCTTTGCAGGCTGCCTCACGGCATCCCTATCCATCGGACAGCCGCCTGTCTCGCAACAAAGCGCTTCGTGATGTTCAGAGTCTTGCGGACGTCTGTCCATGAGTTGGGATAGCTAATATGTAATATATAGTCTGTACTGCATGAAATACAATCTATACTATCTGTCATTTGTAGTATACAACCTATACTATAAGGAAAGAGGAGGGAGCTGTGCATCAGTGGTGTCACCGCGCCGAGGTACGGCCAAGCTCGTCTGGAGCTCCTGCCACCACTCGAGTTGCAGACGCTTAACAGCGACTACTACTGCTATAGTAGAAGCCAGAAAGTTGGAACATCATGCTCCTCCTGTCACTAAGGTAAGGTATAGGGGATCCCAGCACTCATCATCCTAAACCCATGGTCCATCTTTCTGGGATTCACGATAGCATGACCTCACCTATAAAGACGCCTGAGTAATTAGTATACTACTCCTTCGGTCCCTAGGGCTTCTTACTATAGGTAGTGTACCCTAAACCTTATTCAACTTATCTAGGCCCGCGCCTCCATTGTTTGCCGTTGTTTCTGGTCTGGCAGCCTCACAATGGGGTACCCTCGTTATCGACAGCGAGCTTCAGATTCGGCCCAGCAAAGAGACAAGCCCCGAACTCCAAGTTCGAGCCCTCAACCTGCAGTTGTTCCATTGAGGAAAGGATGGTCGGATTCTCGTTATTAAGCCTAAACCCTCCTTGTCCTGCTTGCGAGACGGAAAACCCTTTTGGCACCCTAAACCCTCTTTCGGCTCAAAGTTTGTATCTCTGCAGCCCCCGGCTTTGCTCTTGCAGAAATCGGAGACGACCTCCGACTCGAAGGCCATGGCGGAAGTGGCGGAGCCGGAGTTCAAGGTCGGCTCTAAGGGCAAGAAACAGCTGGCGCCTTGGAGCGAAAGGACATATGTAGAAATATATATATAGAGAGAGAGATAGAGTGATTTTTTATAGATACATACGTTGTACATATATATATATAATATGCAGGTATCTATCTATCTATATATATATATATACATCTGTATGTATGTATGTATGTATGTATGTAATGTATGTATGTGTGCATGTATGTGTGTATGTATAGGGTCTTTCAGGCCCCACAAGGGATAGACACTTAGCTCAAATCCGTTCCTTTGGTTGCAGCCGTCGCGACCAAATGTTTCCCTGCCTTCTTCCATGCTGCCAGGGCGATGTTGTAGTGTGTACTGTTTCGCTTTGTTTGGCTTTGCGAGGTTTCGGAAACATGAGGCGCTTGCCTAATACCTAATACCTCAGATAGGAGGCTTCTTAGCCCTCTCCTCTCACTCAATGACTTGTAACTGAGCTTAGCTTCACAGCTCGTCTGCTCCGAGTCGTCCTGATGACGATCAGGATGACTAGTGGGATTATGGCGAGTAGTGTAGTGGCCCAAACCAAGCTCCAGGTGGACAATGCCCTGGACAAGAAGTTCCGAGGCTCGAAAATGGACAACTTCTTCAAGGCTCCTTTGGCTTCATACTGGGTCTAGGGCTCAAAGTTAATCTGCCGTTCCTTCTTAAGCATAGATCCGGTTTGTAAGCATCGCTGTGCACACCCACCCCTAGGGTAGGGATTCCAGCAGCTGCTTGGTGAGATAAGGACCGTCAGGGAGGCCATGAGTTCGAAAGTCACCATGTCTTCCTTTCAACTGCTTTGGGTTTGGGCTTCGGGTTTCCTTGGCTGAGCTGGGAGTATGGAGTCATGGAGATTTTGAACTATATGGCTGCTTTGCAAGACAGATATGCTTGTTAGGGTTTAGTTTCGGATTTTCGGGATCCCAATAAGCAAGCCACGACGAACCGCCAAGAGTCGTGCATGTGACCGTATGCTAGTCTTAGCACAAAATACCGAATTAGATCGACCCAAACAGAAAAGAGATGCCGGAGGTGTCGCAGCGTGGCTCCAACCTCACGACGGAGACACGGATGTGCTAAGATTTGGAGCTTACACGACAATCGGAAGCTTGAGGTGTGTGTGATTCATAGATTTGCTTCGTGGCTTGTTTGTTTCTGTGGCGTGCATTGAGACAAGTTGCAGGGGTCGCGAAACTCCACCAGCTTTGCAAGCATTGCGATCCCCGATCCCAACGCACTCATGCATGGCCCGGAACACAGCCGGGCGAATAGCTCGGAAAATCACACAGCAGCTAGCAATCACTTCTTTCACCTGCCAATTAAGACGTTGATACCTCGATGTCCCAAGCCGTCGGAAATCGTGCTTTGGGGCTCAGCCCAACTCGCAGTGTAGTCTCCTGCTACAGGAGATCCGAGCGGGAATCACCACTTTTCTCACTGCCGCTTACATCATGGCAGCCGCTTGGTCTTGAACGCCTGTATCTTCACTTCAGGCACCCAGCTAGTAACGTTTGCTGCGAAGGATTGCATGACGGCTCTTGGCTTGGGTGCCTTTGCAGGCTCGCGCTTGTGCAGAACAGACGTAAACCGTCTAGTAAACCGTTGCAGCTTCTGATGCACATGCAGTCACTGGGACAGTTTACAGGCAGTAGGACTGCAGGTGTAATTGTCTTGCTGTCTTGCTAGCTTCTTTCAGGAAGCGTTGTCAGTGCGATTGTGCGAGCATTCGCAGACGATGGTGGCTCGAGGATCCTAAATTCAAGCGGCTTGTGTCCAGGCCTGAAAGCCCTGCGTCACATGAAGGCTGTGGGCTGTTGCAGATGGACTTTGATGCAAAGGTGCCTGGCGGTGAAGCCCATGGCGAACTGTCATGGCCGGGCATTTTCGAGCCCTTCCCAATGGCAAGATGCTTACATCAATGCATTGGCTTCCGGGGAGGATCTGCGCCTGCAAGATGCCAAGAGACGGTTGATGGACCAATGGCGCGGCGATCATGCTGCCAATCGCGTAGCGGAGGCGAACCACCACTACAATCGAGCTTTGCAAGGACTAGAGGGTCCCAACGCACTCGGAGTCCACCTGACTTACCTGGCACATCAGAAGTTTCGCCGTGGAGCCCGAGGTAAATGGGGCCTGGCCCGCCGGAGTGTCGGTCGCCTGACGCACCTCCTGGATCATGCAGCGAGCCCCTAGCGGCCCAAAGCCTAGAAGAAATCCCTGTGTCACTGCCCTTCGGAGGCTTGTCCATCTTCTCCCCTTGCCTTCCGGCACGAGTCAGGAGCTTCCAAAGCGTCGGAAAAAGATGGGCCCAGGCAGGGTTCGGTCGCAGGTTCATAGACTTCGCGAGGGAACTCTTGCCTTTCGAGCTTACAGCGGCACAGTGGAGGCCCGGAAGAAAGTAACATTTCACCTTTTGGGGTCTATCGAATCCTACAAGACAATAATTGCAAAGGTTAACCTTTTCTTTGATATGGCGCGTGGCCTAATTGGGGGTACCTTATTTTGGGGTCCCTATTATAAGGATCCTACTATTCAGGATACTATATTAGGGTCCCCTATTTTCGGAAACTCCCATCTAGTCTCGAAGCTCCGAGCCACCACCTACAAAAAGCTACACCTGGATCAGCACACTGGGAAGACATGAAGGCTGCTTGGGAGAGTTTTATGGGGTTTAGGGTTTAGGGTTTTATGATTAACGCTTTAAAGCTGCCTGAGAACTGGGGGCACACAGCTACCATACAAAAGCAAGGAGGCCGCCAATGGATCACTAGCCACAAATCTCAGCCACCCAAACCCCGATATAGCGGCCTAAAATACTTACCAATACTCTTTCGGGGGTTCCTTATTTCCTCATTATAATTATAGTATAATAGGCTCCAAACCCCTGTATTACTCATAAACGCCCCGATATTACTCGCCTTCTCAGAGCATGATCTCCAAACAGCTGCCGGAAGATAAATTAACCCGAGAAGCCGCAGCAAGATCAGGCAAAGTCGTCGAAGGAACAGGGTTACAGCCTACCTATATTCTTCATTGTAGTTCCTTTTTATGGTTAACCAGTTTTATGGCGAGAATCCTATAATATAAATTTTGGTTAAAAAAGGCACTACAATGGAGACTATAGGTAGTGCCAAAAGCCCCAGTGAGGGTGTCATACATCCGGCTGTTTGTCAGGATCCTTCTAATGGTGAACTCTGTATATTGAGTATGGTCCCTCTACGCAACCTCTCCTCCAAAACTTTACGGATGACTCCCGTGACATGAACCATAAACCATTCCAAGAGTAAAAGTAGGGACCCTTAATAAGGACCCTTAGGTATATACCCTTAATATACCAATTATATAGCACATTATAGGGTAGGCGTCCCCATTAAGGGTCCCTCCTTTTCCCCTTTGAACCATGAACACGGAACATCCGAGGTCAACCCGAACATCATCAGCACCACGGGCCTGAGCTCTCGAAGCATAAAAGCGGCTTAGGGCTCAGGGGTCCTTTGCATTTGTGCTGGGGTTTTTGGGGTCATGTTGGGATCTTTGGGATTTCAGGGTTTGTGTGTTTTTTGTTTTTGTTTTGCATTTCAAGGGTTAAGGGTGTTTATTAATTTTGGGTTTGGGACTCCCTCAGTGCTGCCAAGAGCGACAGCGCACGTAGCCAGAACATGGCAGCAAGAAAGAGCAACACCCAAAAGCAAAAGGCAGCCTGCGAACTTATTACGGGCCGTATGGAGGAGCTTCGCCTTTCCCATTGAAACGGACGTCGCGGCTGTAGCGTCGTACTAGAGGTGGTAGGTAGATGCCGGGAGACCACGAAGGAGAGACCCAAACCCAATGCCGGCCACCAGCAACTCTGAGCTGAAGTTTGATGTCTCAGTGTCTCACCCCTCGAAGAACTTGCCGAGCTCATAAAATCCGAAACCCTAAACAGAGCTAGGCGAGCTCATAAAAATCCGAGACTCTCAGGACAAACTCTAACTGCACAGTGCCTCAGTCTGATAGACTTTCCAACTAACACGTGTGGTGGATGGAAAGGGGCCAATAAAGCAAAAAACTCCGAAACTAAACCCTAAAAAGGAATTTCGATGGCCTGGTCTTCGCTACAGCGATGTCGAGCTGCATTGCTACGCTGATCATGGCGCTTTGGGCGAGCTTGGGCAATGAATATTTTAAGGGTTACTATAGGGGCCTTCATCAATACCTATACTGTTTTGGGGGTTCCTTATTATACGTATAGTATGACGGGCCCCAAAACCCTAATCAAATTATCAAGGCGGGAGTATTTTGCCTAGTTGCCAGAACTTCTTGCACGACAGTTGGCAACACGAGAACTAGACCTTGCACTTCAGCTTACCTATTGTTGCTAAAACAGTTAGGCCGCGTGCACCCCGGTTAAGAGTTTTGCAGTGGCTACATGTCGAGACGTAGAAGCACCACCACCGCGTGCAGAAACATAGAAACTGTAATCTTCCAACGAGGCTTATGCGTGCATGGACAGTGAATATAGGGGCCTTAATAGTTACCTGTATTATTTTGGGGGCTCCTCATTATAATTAGAGTATAACATACCCCCAAACCCTAGTCTAATTACTAAGGCCCCTACGTTATAGGTGCATGGACAGTTAAACGCTACGCAAGAAGTTCCTTTCTTCACTGTTGGAATGAAGCACATCTCAGGAACTTGCCATTTGGCCTATGGCCCGGCATGGGTATGAATGCCTATTTCGCCTACACCATTGTGGGCTTCAAGGGTACACAGAATGCCGTGAAGAAGGTGATGATGGCTGTCACCGTGGAGGGTGTGATCTTCATCATCATGTCTGCTCTCGACCTTCGGCGCTATGTCTTCAAGGTCTTCCCTACGTGGATGATGAAGGCCACCATGGCTGGGATCGGCTTGTTCTTGGCCCATATCGGGCTGCAAGCGGGAAACGGCATCGACATCGTCAGAGACCATCCAGCAGTGCTTGTGGACCTTGTGACCCTCACTGGCGAGCACTTCGCGCGCACCTGGATTGGAATCGCCTTCTTTTGCGTCATGAGCCTCTTGATCCTCTTGCGCGTCAAAGGAGCTGTCATGATCAGCATCCTTCTTAGCGCCATTCTCTGCTGGATCCTTTCAGCTACCGGAGAGCAGTTCACATACAAGCCCATGTGCTGCCTTGGCAGTGTCACCTTTCCCGATCCAGCCGCCGGGGGTGTAGAGTGGTATCCGAAGCCGGGAGGTGGCTTCTACCCCAAGCCCACGTGTGTAAATCCATACACCGTGCCCGGTAAGGGGAAAATGACAAGCACAGATTCTGGACCCTCTTTCAGCTGGGAATCTTCCGCATCTGTCTCGTATGCGAACGGAGCCTACCTAATCACGAACGGCGGTTCCACGGTAAACCACACTGGCAGCATCTACTTCGAGGGCATCGCAGCAGGCCGCGACTCCTCCTTCAATGGTGGCTGCACCGACACCTGCCATGCCATGATGGGGGGCTTCAATCCTGCGTGCTTCGGCACGGTGCTGGTGGATACGGGTTGCTGGACATCCGGGGCCGCAGTCAACCGTAGACCACCCCAAACCCAAACGCTTAAAGATCGGGGTCTGAAAAGGGAACCTCTTCGGGGTTCGAGAGAGGATGCAAAGTGCCCCGGCCAGGACCGGCATGGACTTTCAAAGCCGAGCAACTCAGCAGCTGGTGGTCGATCAGTTTGGCGAGGGCTGCCTTGGAGGAGCTGGCCGCATCCCGAGACCCGGCTGCTTAAATAGGGATGTAATATAGGGGCCTGAATAATTACCTATCCTATTTTTGTGGGGGTCCTTATGACAATTATAGTACAGTGGGCCCCAACACACTATTGTAACTATGAAGGCCCCTATATTATAGCACCCTTATAGTAACCCTTATAGACCCCTTTAAAGGAACCCTATTGTAGCTATTAAGGACCCTATAGTCGCTTTGATCCTCTCTGTTTGTCATGCCATCCTCGAGGGTCTACGCAAGGGCATGACGAAAGACGTGACCATGAAGCATACATTAGTTGTAATCATCAAGACAGCAAGTAATGGCGACAAGAAGAAAGGATGATAATCTTAATAATTATAGCAGTAGCATGGCCGTACAATTAATTAAACAAGGTACTGCCCGAAGACAGTTCTCACAAGGAAAGGCCAAAGCTTGGTCAGCGGAAGGCTTCTTATTGCAGCTGTTTTTGTTGTTGGAGCTATGCTGAAGCGGCTTATGCTTTGCCGCTATGTGTTGCTCCTGAAACTGCAGTCCTGACTCCAGGTATGTCTTGTGCTCTCAAACTGAGTGTTGTGTCCCTGGGGGTTTAGGGTTTCGGGTGGGCATATACAAGTCTGTGCAAAAGAGTGGACTGGGCAAGAGAGTCGCAGTTCGTCTTGCTGCTACCACCGCTGCCGCGATCGACAGGCCCTCACCCTCAACAGTCTCAGACAAGGAACCGAAGAAAGCCGCGGAGCCCAACTCGATGAGCCAAAACCTCAAGCCCCGAGCTGGCAATCCGACACTAAACATTGGCTTTGTCTAACTGACAGGAAGCTGTAGTCCACTGTTCTCGAGCGTTACCCTGCAATGCGGGCCTCGCCTTGCTAAGTAGGAGGGAAACAAAGTCTCGAGAGTTCTGAAGTCTAGTCTAGTCCTTCATTGAGTCATTAACTTAACCTAACATGGCCGCTGAGCAGCGAAAGGAAGACCTTCAACCCGCCCAACGCCTTTGCCTCGGTTCCTCTCGTGGACGTAGCCGGACCGCTGGTGGCTCCATTTTCCGGATGGGGTGGCTGTGCTTCTTGGTCATAGAACGGTTCACAGAGATAGCGCTTACGGTTTCGGAGTCTACGGCTTCGAGTTTCGGGCTTTTAGGATATTGGGATATGTTTGCTTATGGTTCAGCGGCTTCAACATCCTTGGGTTTGTGGTTCCAGGATGCTGCAGGTGTTGGGCACTTCAACTTTGGAAGGGTTTGGCAAGGCTTCTTCTCCACGGTCAGCAGTGATTAGCATCGATTGGCCATACTTCAGCGCAGGGGGCGGGTGGAGGTTGGTTTGTGCGTTGTGTGTGTGTGTGTCACCTGTGGTTCTCAGCTGGGGGCAGTAAGTACCTGAATTTGTTGTCCGTTTCGTCATCCTTGCGGTGGCCGTGACTGTACTTGTACTCGGGTTTGCTGGCCGGCTGTGTGCATTGGCTTTTTGGTTATGGTGCTGTTACGAGAGCAGGCGGTGTAGCTGCAGCGGAAACATGTGCAGTAGAACGGCCTTTTGAAGTGGCGGTTTCGTGACGGTGGTAAACTGCTGGCTGGGACTGGTGCTGGTGTGGGTGCACGTGGTGTTTGCCATTTCTGTTGGTTATGGCCGCGACCCTGGTTTATGCTGCGAGGATTGTGTTGTCGGTGCTGATTCTGGCTGCATTTCTGTATTGATGAATGCTGCTACAGTAGTTTCTCGGTTATTATGTAATGAACACGCCCTCTACAGAATATGACCGTCGTCTTATTTTCTGAGAGCTTTTACTTGCTGTCCACTGCACCTGGTGCAATGATTCGCAGCTTATGCTAAATGTTTGGGAACTGCCGGCGCAATTCACTAGGTTGCTCCTTGTAATTAGCACACTTTATAAGTCTGTATCATCGAATCGTTGTCTTACTGAGTCTTGTTGTCGCTGTTGCTGCTACTTACTGAAAAAGAGTAGTTACACATGGCGCAGCGTGGTAGATCGGTGTGTGTCATCCGTATCTGGCCTTTGTTGGTGTTGTCTACGGTTTTTTACAAGTTTAGGGTGTTTTACCACCAACTCAGGATGCCAATGGCAACAACTGCGTTAACGGCGATGTCTCCGGTGGCACTATTCTTGCATGGGACACCTCTGGATTCGGCGACTGGCAAGGCTTCTGGAATCCGCTTCTTGGCATGCCTTAAAATGAGTTGCGGAAGAGAAGAGCGCTAAAGATATTGAAGGTTTGAGAAAGAGTTGAACAAGTGCCACCCGCACAATGAGCGTGAGGCAGTCCAGCTAAGCAGATACCTGTGGAAACCCATGCCCCAAGTCCCAATATTGGCGATTGGCGGCACTGAGTGACTGAGGCTGCTCACGCTCCTCTACATCGACTTCATCGGCACGATGGGCTTCTTGTATGCAGCAGCAGACCTCAGCGGCCTCGTCGATCCCGAGAAGCCAGAAACCTTCCCCGGTTGCTATGCCGCCTTCATGGCAGATGCAGTTGGTACCTTTGTAGGAGGCTTCCTGGGCACGAGCTCCGTTACCACCTATGGTGAATCCATGGCTGGAGTGTATGAGGGAGGCCGTACTGGTCTCACCGCACTCGTGATCGCTTTCCTTAACTTCATTTGCATCTTCATGACGCCCTTGCTCTCCTCGATTCCGACGCTTTCCACCGGGCCTGCATTGGTCATGGTGGGCGTCTTCATGATCGAGGGTGTGAAGGACATTGAATGGACTGACTACATGCAGGCCATCCCCTCCACGATTTGCATCCTTCTGCAGATCACCACCTACAAGATCGAGGTTGGCGTCCTGGGTGCTTTGTTGGTGTCCCCTGGCTTATCAAGACTACCACAGCTGGCGCGCAGAGCCATCCATGGACAACTCGAGTATTCGCCGTTTAGATACGTTCAGGTGATCGTGACAGCAGTGGCAGCAAGTGCACTGCTTGCCTAACTGCATTGACACCCCTGCCCCATCCCGTTCCTGAAAGTCAACTGAAGTAGGTTCGCATGTTGCGGGACACTGGGTAATCAGAGCCAGCTAAAGCTTGACCTAAGGTGGACCTTCCTCATGATCTTCTCCGGACGCATCTTCCTGTATATTCCTGGAGACTGGGGTCTATATAGCTGTATTTTATGCATGTATGTATCTGTATGCGGGTGTAGGGGTGTGCGTGTATGCGCGGCTCATGCTGTCGTGTCAACCTCACCCTGACCGAGCTGCATTTCTAGCAGAAGTTTGCACAGGGCTTCGGGTTCCGGCTTAAGGCTTTGGATTTAGGACATATTGCTGTCAAGCCACTGCGGCCGATTCAAGACACAGACGAGCACACGGCAGCTTGCAGCTAGTCTTGGGGGTACTTAGAAATAATTTTAGTTTTTTGGTTATTATAGTCCCTAAGAGAGAGCCAAAATTATAATTTGTGGTAGGGTTCTAAGCTCAGTATAGTAGTTAGCAAGGCAGTACGAAGCCGTGCAGATCTCCAGGGTTGAGCTTCACGCAGGCCACCACCCCAACGGCTCTCCTCAAGAATTACTTCCTGTTATGATCAAAGCTCCGCAGGGCTTCTTTGAACATGAACCCCTTATTATCGGTCCAAGGGGGTGATAGGTAGGGTCATGTCTGGTCTACGTGTAGTCATACTGTTCTTCTTATTGGTCCAAGCGGGTTCTAGGCAGTGGCGGCGTCTGCATATTGTGACATTGTGAAACTTGCTATATGCGCAGAGTTTAGCTGCACTATGCACTGTTCTTCGCTGTGTTACGGTGTTTGCCTGTGCGTTTGACGGTCCTGCCTGGTTCGACATCTTCTAGTCTTCGCCCAAGCATCGCGGCAGCTGACGAGCAGTTGGGATGTTTTTCGGTGTTTCGACGGTTTAGGGTTTAATTTGCAGTCCCTGTTCTAAACAGGGATTAGGGCAACACGCACATGGCACAAGACGCTGTCGTTTGCTTCCTCATCCTAAATCCTAAATCCTAAATCCTAAACCCTAAACCCTAAACCCTCACGGCCTGGGGTTTAGGACTGCGGGATGGGAAAGGCGGGGGGCTCTTGCTGTAACCGGGCTGCTGGACAACGAGGCCTGCTGCAAAAAGGACGTAGGGAATCTTTTGCAACCCCCCAAACCCAAAGCTCATAAAAAAGTATATAGTATATATGTATACATATCTGTATGTGTATGTTTATATCTATACTGCTAGGTAGGAGGGAGAAAGAGCTCCATAATTCACAGACCTCTTGTTTCTGAAGGCCTCGGCCATTGTGAAACGGAAGGAAGACCCATAAAAAAGCACGCTGACAACCGCAAAACCTCCCTGGACACTTTAAAACTTGTATATATGTGTATGTATATGCATATATATACACGCACCCTACAAGCCCGCCTAGATCCTAAAGCCTGAATCTTTGCCACCAAGGGCGCGTTGCAGACCTTGCATGGGCATGTCCGAGCGCAAGCGTCAAAACCTCGAAACCCTAGACCCCAACTGAGGCCTTAATTTAAACAGCAACATAAAGGAGGGGCCCTAAATGCCTCAGCCCTGAGCCCAAGCTTTGGTGAGGAGCTTGGGAGAAGCTTCCACCTGTCATGCAGAAGTTCGTGATCCTTGGCTTCAGTGTTTGGGTTCAGGGGTTCGGGGTATGAGATGTTGAGGTTGGGGGGTTTTGGGGTTTCGGTTTGAGGGCCCCCGTCGCACGCTCAAGTGCAGATGTCTGAGAGGGTTTGGAAGTTTAGGATCAGCGAGTTCAGGGGTTAGGGTTGTATGTGGATGGTTCGGAATGCTCAAAAGTCAAACCAATTCTGTCCGGAATCTGATTATCTCCCCCAGTTGCAATTTCCAAAATCCATACATACATCTACACATATACATGTACATATACACTATAGTCAATATACATATGAATATACACATGCCTCTTTAAGTACAAGGCATAAACATACAGACATACATGTACACAGGCACACACACACATGTGTACATAGACAGATCTGGGCGTATATAGATATATATATATATATATGACTGGAAGTGAGGGCTATAGGGTAGTTAGTTCCTGTACAGTTTGCATGTTACTGACGTTTTGGCTCAAGGCCAATTGCAGAAGCCTAAAAAGTGCTTTCATGGTAGCGGAGCAATCCTGGATGGGTTGCTGCTGTGCTTGCAGAAGAAGGAGAGCGCAGCGCGAGAGAGCCAGGGCCAATTGGGTCCGATTGATTCAAAAGGTAAGGAAGCTGCGGAAGCTTCAGCGTCTTTTCCACAACACTGGAGTGCGGCTCCAGGATTTTCCAAGAAGGTTGCTTGATCGCCTTTCGAGGCATTTTAAGAAAGACTGATGTCTCAGCCGGGAAGTCCCACAGGAGTGGGGGCTACCCAAGGAGAGGAAATGTTACTGAGGCTGCTTCAAGGGCAGCAAGAGCAGCTTCAGAGGCTGCAAGAGATGATGGGAGCCCAGGTTCATGGGCAACAGCAGCTTGCAGCTGCAACGCAGAGCTTTGCTTCGGCTAGCTCGGCCACCAAGGGACGTGGCTTGATTGATGTGAAAGCTGTGGGGCGACCGAGCCAGCTGGGCGGTACATTGGAAGAAGCGTCGCGAAATTGGCGCCAATGGTCGTATCGTCTTGAGCTTTGGCTAGCCTCGCAATTTCCGGATGCTAGGAAGATCCTTGCTTGGGTCAAGGAAAAGGGTGATACCGAGATTCCTTTGGCAAGCCTGGAGTCGACTTCGATTACGGGCGTTGCCAAGGAAGCGGTGCTGGAATTTAATCGCCAGCTTGAGGTGGTGCTTGGGACGCTTACCAGCGATGCGCCTGGGGACATCACGATGAATAGTTCGACTGGGTCAGGTTTGGACATGTTCCGGCGGCTGCACGCCCGCCTGGATCCATCGGATATGGTCACCAGCATGAGGTGGCTAAGGTCGCTTATGAGCACTTCGGCGGTGGACTCCGTCACCGACCTGGTGCCAGCCATTGAAAAATGGGAGGATGCTCACCGGCGGTACAGCCAGCAGAAGGACTGCGCACCTTTGACGGAGCAGCAGAAGATGGTTTCTTTGATCGGCCTCGCGCCGTCTGAGCTTCAGGGCCACCTGGAGCTAAACCTGGGAAGGCTCAGCAGCTATGAGTTGCTGAGGAGAGAAATGGTGTCCTTTGCGGATACCAAGCGGGCCTTTACGGCCACGGACGGTGCTGTGCCAATGGAGGTGGATGCTTTGAAGGGTGCCAAAGGACCGAAGGGAAAAGGAAAGAAAGGAGACAAAGGAAAGGACAAGGCCAAAGAAACAAGGACCTGTCACATATGCCAACGCGTAGGTCACCTAGCTAGGGACTGTTGGTATAAGGATAGTAAGGGTAAAGGTAAAGGAAACCCGAAGGACCCTAAGGCTCAAGCGGGCAAGGGTAACAAGAACCGGCCAAAGGGCCGAGCCAACGAGCTTGACGGCACGGAGGGCGGCGCCATGGATGGGGCCGGCGATGCCGAATATGAAGCCGAAGAGCCTGATGAGGAAGCCGAGTTGGGCTTTATAGGGGCTCTGGATGGCGAGGGCGAAGCTGACCCTGATGGGGACCCTGCCGATGGCAGGGAAGATGGAAGCGGAGGTGATGGAGCGCTTCGTTCCTCACCTGGTGCCGACACCTCTGGGGCCGGGAGCTCCACGGATCCCCCGGCACCCAAGGCTAAAGCCAAGGCGGGATCAGCCAGTTCCACCCCAGTGGGCCTAAGGATGGCCGATATGAGTGTGCTGAACAAGCTTCAGGAAAGGCGAAGGGAGCTTGAAGCTCAGATCGCCGAGGTGGAAGCCAAGGGCAGTGAAGGTGACCAAGGGGAGCTCACCATGCACCGGCTGATGCTGGATATGGTTAAGGGTCAGATCAAGAGGGCCCAGGAGCTCAAAAGGAACCGAGAAGAAAGGATCTCGGCTAGGCTCCAGGCCGACCTGAATGCGGGTCACAACCCGCGGCTGGCAAAGCGGAAAGAAAAGAGCCGCCAGAGAGCGGCCAAGCACCGACAAAGCCTCAGGTTAGGGCAAGCCAAGGCACGAGTTAGAAGGGAGGAAGCCCTGGAGAGGAGGTTCAACATACCCGAGAGGGCACGCAAGCAGGATGAATATCCGTTGCTGCCCAGTGCTGGGTCCAAGGTGGCTGCACCACCCTCTCGCCGGGAAAAGGCTATGATGAGGGGCGAAGGCGAGGACCGCGAGCACTCTGGGGATGAGCTCGACGAGCCCAAGGAAAGGGACTGGAGTGCCAAGCCTCGGCGGCTAACGCCAGAGGGCCGCGAAGGCAAGAGGCTGCGAGAGCAGAAGAGGAAGAAAAGAAGGGCTCAGGAGATGAAGGAAGAAGCGGGTGGTGGACCGCCTCGGTCCCCACCGGCGGGGGTTCGCGGAACCGACCGGCCCAGTGAGCCGAAGGGGCCACCGCCTAAGCTGAGGCCGACCCCTAAGGTTCGGGCGACGCCCAAAGAGCCGAGTACTCCGCCACCGGGCCATGAGTCGAGAAGGAAGAAGAAGGAAGAGGAAGAAGAGGACCTGGTGGAGATGGTCTTCACCTTCATCGACGGCTCGGGGGTTGTGGTGCGAAGAAAGGGCATCTCCGAGCTCACCCTCAGCCAGAAAAGAAAGGTGGAGGAGGCAATCGCCTCTGCACCTTGGAGGGCCGAGCCCAAGTCCCGAGGCAGGCCCCAGCTGAACAAGTACAGCCAGATGTACTCGAGGTTTGTGAACTATCTCAAGGGCTACCGACCAGCCCTGCCGGAGAAGCAGATCCGCCGCAGGGGCCTTGCGAAGCAGTACCAGGCTGCAACCCGGTTTCGCGCAAGGGTTGGAATCCGGAGGAAACTCCGGGCCCTGGCCCCGAGGGGCACGGTGGGCGAAACGATCGCCAACCGGGACCTGGATGATGACAGCGACTGCCACTCGTGCCACAGCAGGCGTGTGAAGACGACCGAGCCTGCAGACCGCTTTTACAAGAAGCGGCGGGCAGCAAGGGCCAAGCAAAAGGCCAAAGAGCTCCTGAGCGAAGACGAGGAAGAAGACCAAAGGGGTTACGATGACCCCGACACAGACTCAGACCCCGGCCACCGACCTTTGGGCCGTGGGCCAAGGAGCCCACCAGGCGGTGGGGAAGGAGCCAAGGAGGCCGTGGTGTACTCCTTTGAGCCAGGGTTTGGTGGGGCCGCTTCGGCTACCACCATCCAAGTGATCCTGGATAGTGGGGCGAGCCACAATGTGATACCACAAGAGTGGGTGAAGCACCTGGAATGGGGACCCGCCGAAGGACCGGCAGGCTTCCGCACCGCAGACGGAAGCTGGCTGCCAAACCTCGGTACGGCCGTGGTGTCTTTGAGGTCGACCGAAGGGTTTTCCTTTAGGGTCCGGTTTTGCGTGGCCTCGGTGCAGCGTGCGCTTCTCAGCGCGACCCAAGTGCTGAAGCTTGGGCACACGATCGTCCTGAAAGGATCGAAAGCGGTGATCCGTGTGAAAGGAAGCGAGGAGAAAACTTTGGTGTTCAAGATCCTTGGGTCGCCTAAGGCGACGTTTGCTTTCAAGGGTTTCCCGCGGCACTGCCCGGAGGAGTGCAGGTAAGCCCAAAGGGAGGCCGGAAGCCCGAAAGCGTTTTCACCCACCTTGCGGTAGCTCAGGGAGTAGGTGCTGTAGATGTACAGAAAAATTCGAAAGTTTCACCTGACAGCCATTTTGGCGCGGTAGGAAAAGGTAGTGTTTTTCATCTTCCTAGGCCCCCTCCGGTAGCTAGTTCTCCCGACCACTTTTTCATAGGATCGGAAGGAGAAGAGGACAAAGCCGAGGAGGAAAGAAGCAAAGCAAAGGAGAAGGCAAAGGAAGAACCAAGAAGCCCAACGCGCAAAGCAAAGGAAAAGCCAAGAAGCCCAACACGCAAACCAGAGGAAAAGCCTAGGTCTAACTCGGGCAAGAATCGATCTGGATCCCTTTATGTGGGTGAAGCCGGCGGTGCTGATCCACCAAGGGAGGAAGCTGCTTCAGCGTCCTCCCAGCCACAGGTCGATGAGGGTCAGTCTGCTCAGCCGTTGGCCCGGCCAGACCGACCAACGCCCGAGATGATAGCAGCTCATGAGGTTTCCCACGTTCCATACAGGAGTTGGTGCAGAGCCTGCGTTGCAGGTCGTGGTCGAGCCTACCAGCACAAAGCCTCGGGTCAGGAGTCCACGGTGCCTGTCATCAGCATGGACTACCTCTACTTCAATGAGAGGACCGATGGCGCTGGACTGCCCACCATAGTCCTTCGCGATCGCCACTCGAAGGCTATCTTCTCGCACCTCCTCCCGTGCAAGGGAACGACCGGATCTACGCACCCTGAGCGAGCTATCTTGAAGGACCTTGAATTCCTAGGGTACAAGAAACTGGTCCTAAAGAACGACCAAGAAGCTTCTATCAAAGCTCTATCTCTCGCTGTTCGCAATGGCTTCAGTGGGGAGATTGTTCCGGAAGAGTCACCTAAGGGGGACCACCACGGGCAGAGCAACGGGGAAGCTGAGAGGTCCGTTCAGACAGTGCAGGGTTTAGTGCGGACCCTGAAGGCCAGTTTGACCGAGAAGGGCATTACCCTTGAACCCACCTCAGCCGTGTTTGCCTGGATGATTGAATATGCCGGTGTGCTGCACACCCTGTTCAGTCAAGAGCTCCATGAAGGGTTGACGCCTTTTCAGCGAATAAAGGGGCGCAAGTGGCAAGTGGCCTTGCCATGCTTCGGTGAAGCTGTGGACTACCGCCGCAATACGCGCTCAAAGCTGGATTCGCGATGGCAATCTGGAGTTTATCTGGGCCTACGTCTGCAAAGCACGGAGAAGATCGTGGGGACCAACCAAGGGATCTTTGTGGTCCAGAGCATCAAGCGGAAACCCGAGGGCCAACAATGGGATTCCGACTTGGTCAAGGCAGTTCGTGGATTGCCCTGGAAGACCTCACCGGACGAGACTGGAGATGGTGCTCGATTACCCGAGCCACTGACCGTTCGAGCTCAAGTTGAGGAGGGACTGCCTCCACCTGCTCGCGAACTGGTTAAGCCCGAGGTAGCACCCTTCAGACGCACCTACATCCGCCAGTCTGACCTAGACAAGTTTGGGTATACGGCTGGATGCGAGGCATGCTCAGCAATCCGTGAGGGTCGAAGGAGAACGGGCATCAACCACACCGAGCACTGCCGCTCAAGGATCATGGAAGCCCTAAAGGAGTCAGAAAGCGGAAAGGCCCGACTGGAACGCGAAGAGCAGCGTGAGAGTGAATTCTTCGATAAGGTGAACAAGGCAGAAGAGAAGAAGAGGAAGGTGAGTACTGAGCAGGAGGCGTCCTCTTCCACAGACCCTCCAGCGGCCCAACCTTCCAGACCTCTGACCATTGCTCGCCAACCGCCTTTGAGGCCAGAGGTTCCGAGCGAACCTAGCTCTCTGCCACCTGGTGGTGCGGCTGCTTCAGCTGCGCCCAGTGGGGGCCAGAAGAGAAAGAGTGAAGGCGGGGGGGACGAAGGTCGTGCCGAGCTGGCACCTCCTGACGCAAGGTCCGAAGGTCAGAAGCGCAAATCACCTGAGAATGCCGAAGGCATGATCGAAGAGCTCATTCTTCAAGAGCGCGAAGGTTTCATTGCCAGTATCGAAAACGAGGAACAACCCACGTGCGACTTAGAGGACGACTTGTGGGAGGAAAAGTTCTACGACGAGAATACTGGTAAAGAGCTTCCCGCCGAAGGTGTCAAGCAAGCTCGCATCGAGGAGATCCAAGTTATCAAAGATATGCAGGTTTGGGAGCCGATTCCAAGACCCCCTGGCGAACGGGTCATCGGCACCAGATGGATTGACATCAATAAGGGGGATGATCTTCGAAAGAAACTGCGCTCAAGGCTGGTAGCACAAGAACTGAAGAGAAAGAAAGGAGTCAACGAAGATCCGAGCTGGACCGAGTTCTTTGCGGCAATGCCGCCATTGTCCTCATTGAGGGCTCTCTTCACACTGGCTACAACTGGGCGCGTACCCGGCCCAAACAAGAAAGCCTTCCAGATGAACGAGCATGGTGAAGTCTGTGTGCTGTTCATTGATGTGAAGAAAGCTCACTTCTGGAGTCCAGTCAGGAGGCGACTCCTCGTGGAGCTCCCACCAGAAGCGGGAGAAGGACCTGACAAGGTCGGCCTTCTCAAAAGGAGTCTCTACGGAACCCGTGATGCACCGAGCAACTGGGAACATGCCATCAAGAAAGTAATGACCGACTTGGGTTTTAAGCAAGGGGTGTCCAACCCGTGCCTTTACTTTCACCCTGAGCATGGCTTACGTTGCAATGTGCATGGAGACGACTTCACAGTCGTCGGGGGCTACAACAAGCTTCAATGGTTGATTGAGTCACTTCAGAAAGCGTGGACAATTGAGGTGAGAGGAATCTTGGCACGGCCCGGCTCGAGCCTGCCAGGAGTTACTCACAGCATCTCTGTGCTGAACAGATTGGTCACGTGGACCAACGACGGGATTGAGATGGAAGCCGATCCTCGGCACGTGGACCTGGTATTGGAACACCTGGGTTTGAATAACTCCAGCCCTGTTACCACACCACTTGTTAAGAGCACAGGGGATGAGGATGAAAGTCCACTCTCCAAGGAAGATGCTGGACTCTATCGGTCCATAGCAATGAGAATTGGGTATCTGTCAAGCGACAGACCCGACATGCTTCGGACTGTGAGGGAACTTGCTAAAGGCCTTAAGGAGCCCACTCAATATCACTGGAACCTGCTCAAGCGTGCAGGGAGATACTTGAGAGGAGCACCTCGCCTCGTGCAGCTTATCCCTCACCAAGAAGGGTTCAGTGTCATTCAAGGATGGAGTGATACAGATCATGCAGGATGCGTTCGCACGAGAAAATCCACAACAGGGACGGTCGTGCAACTAGGGAAGGCAGTCATCAAAGCCACTGCGAAAGGGCAGGCAGTCATAGCACTATCCAGTGGGGAAGCTGAATACTACGGCCTGATATCCACCACCAGCGCATGCTTGGGTGAACAAGCAATGTTGGCTGATTGGGGCATCAACTGCCCTGTGGTCATCAACATGGACGCCACCACGGGCATATCCATTGGAAGCCGGAGAGGTCTTGGGCGTGTGAAGCACATCCACACCTGCTTCCTGTGGGTTCAAGAGGTGATCGACTCTGGCCGAGTTAAGCTGAAGAAGGTCCCTACGGGAGAAATGCTGGCTGACCTGATGACAAAGCCTCTGGATGCGAAGCTCATCCAGAAGTTCCTGCAAGGAATGGGCTACAACAGCAGAGCGGGACGACATCCTTTGGCCCTGAAGACGTGAAGCTAACAACCCATGCCTCACCACTCGTGAGAGCTGTGCCAGCATCTCACTCGGGAGGCGTGACTGGAAGTGAGGGCTATAGGGTAGTTAGTTCCTGTACAGTTTGCATGTTACTGACGTTTTGGCTCAAGGCCAATTGCAGAAGCCTAAAAAGTGCTTTCAATATATGTACCTCATAATTATGCATATCTCAACCGTGTTCTCATGAAGACATGGAGTGTGTAGCACAAGGAGGTCAAACACACAAGGTAAGTGGCGGCCTGGATTGATCCCAAACCGCAGAACAACCCCAAACCCAAATCCCTACGATAAGCACCAGTCTGGCCGTCGAGGTCGACGCAGCTCGGTGACAAGGAATTCCACCAGAAACTGGAGGAGGCTAGAGGGGCCATGTTTTCGATATCAAGAGTGGGGTCGGAGTTGGTTGGTTTTACGGTTCAAGGTTCAGGCCGGTTAGGTTGTAGGGCGGTTTAGCTGGGTTAGCTGTGGGATATGTGCCCGGGTAGCCTAACACACTTCCCCTGCCGGAGAAGAAGGAGCACAGAGAGAGAGAGAGAGAGAGAGCGCGAGAGAGAGAGAGAGAGAGAGACAGAGAGAGAGAGAGAGAGAGAGAGAGAGAGAGCCGACGTGCTGTGTTGGTTGGGGCCACCTGGATATTGGCTCTCGACAGAAGAAAAAACTCTGGCTACTGGGATGCCCTTGCTTGGGCGGACTCAGCGCTTACCGACAACCTTACACTCTAAACCTACACTGCAAAAGTGGCCTGGAAAGTTCCTTCATGTAAATATGCTATGAGCATACGCTTCCCCCAAGATCCTATTCTAATTTTCGAGAGCACCTATGTCAGGCGACAGGCGAAGGACTGCCTATGCTCCGTCAGTCCTTAAGCCCCCCAAAAACCTGGACAAACTGCCCCAACTCACGCCTCAATCCTGATTTCGGAGTGCTTGGATGGCTGAAGTAGAATCAAAACGCACCCTTTGGGTTCAAGGATGTGGTTTCAGAGCTTGCGCAGCCTGGGAGGTCGGTGCAGTTCAAAACAGCGACGACGAAGTGAAGCAATTCGGCGTCGTGCCCACTGAGTCTGCAGACGCTGCGCTCCAAAACCTTAGCGGATTAATTCGGGCTGCAGGTCGTTTTCCAGCGTTTTTGGAAGTGCATCTGACACCGCTAGGCTGAGCCCTTAACCCTCTCAACACCAACCCTAAGCCCTAGCTTAACCCCGAATAACCTTCCTTTTTGAGGACTGGTATAAGGAAATCATAATAAGGAACCTTAAGAAGTATATGTTATTCAGGGTTAAGCTAAACCCTAAACCGTTTAGGGTTTTGGGTTTAACTCGAGGATCTGAAAGGTGTCGCCGCGGCCTCTCGAGGGCTCCGGGCATCCTTTCCCTTCCCAGAAGTCCGGAGGTCGTACCTAAGCCGAAGTCCTAAAGTCGTAAAGTGTACACATTAGCACAGGATTCAGGACTTCAAAGTCCTAAAATCGTAAAGTGTGTACGAGAGTACAGGATTCGCACAGAGTTGGGTGAACACGAAAGGCCGCGATGCAAGGATCTGGCTGGCCAAGCCCAGTGGCAAAAGGACTTCAGGAGACGCCAGGCTGTCCTCAACCCTCGCACCGCAAGCTTTCAGCCTAAACGCCCAGGACTCGGCGAAGGAGAAGGGGAAGAAGCCTCAGCCTGTGGAGGAGGAGAAGAAGCCTGAGACCAAAGAAGCCTGGGCAGATGCCGGCGATGTCCTCGACGTCGTGGGGGAAGCTTTGGGCTAAAGTGTTTCAGAGTCGCACTTCAATGCAACCCTAAACCCCAAAAATCAACCCAAAACCCTATGTAAACGTTTAGAGTTAGAGTTTAGGGTCCTGGGCTCGAGGGCTAAGGGTCTGCGGCGTGGGTTTCCGGGCTTCTGTAGGATATAAGGATTGAAGAAAAGGCTCGAGGTCATGGGTCATAGGGTTCTGCAAGGTTGTTGAAACCTTGTAAATTTGTAGGACTTCGAGGTTTAGAGCGTTCCCAGAACCTGGGCAACTAACCCGGACAGATCTCGAATGCCTTACCTTTGGTTGGTAGGGAATGGAGGAATGGGGTACAATTATAACTACTATTACTACCATTCTTCCATTCCCTACTAACCAAAGGTAAGATGCTCAGTCTATCTTTCATCCGGCTTGTGCGCGCGATAAGTGATTGAGTTACGTACGAGCGCAGCTAGGACCTAGCAGAAGGAACCCCAAGCGGCCTTACTTCCCGAATCCACACAACCCCCGATGAGAATCCTAAACCCTAAACCGCCATTGGCTTAACCCTTTTAGGGTGTTCTGACTTAGGGAAGTTCCGGTCTAGGGTTCAGGATCATGACCCTTTGTTGCATATTGCAAGATGAGACCCGTGATTGACAAATTACGTTTCCCCTCGGGGCCACAATAAGAGGATCACCATTACCTATGTACGCACATGCATGCATGCATACAAACATATGTACGAATGTTTATTCGCAGGTAGGTATGTATGTATGTGTGTATGTATATATATATATATGTAATCTGACAGCCTTGGTTGAGGGACTTGTTTGTTGCTTTATCGAAGGTTAGGTGGAACATGTAATACGACCTCACTCACTTAGAAACGGTGAAGCGGTCTTCAATCAAGACAAACAGACTGCCACACAGTCGTGTTCTCGAGTACCACGACGTGCTGCAAAGCAGTTGCGGGTCATGTGCGAATTGTAAACATATTGGCTTCTCCGTATCGGAACTGCACTCTCAGTTTTGGATTTTGGTTGTTCGTTGAGAGGGTTTCGAGCTTCGAGTTGGCGTCTATGCCACACCCTGGATTCGGTTCTAGGCCCACAAAAGCTCCCACACTCAAGCTGCAGAGAAAGTTGCACTGCGTTTTCTGTCGCTGCAATTCTACAACTCATACAAACCATAAGCGCGTGCCACGGACTGCTCAACGGCGGGGCCTTTCCAAGCCCGAGTTGCAGACTTGCAGCCTAAACCCGAGAAGGTCACATCCTGGCTTGAGTGCCAGGACAGAGACCGAGTCATTCATTCGTGGAAGTGAAATCGCCCCTGTTCTCTCCACCTTTCAAGTTGTAAGCTCTAGTCTCGATTTTGGGGAAGATTGCAACATGCTCGTTGGACCGGTCCTGTCTCTAGCTATCTTCCAAACCCCTAAGCCTTGAATGCAGCGTCAGAAGCCGTGCCTGTAGGTAATTGCCAACCCGGAGCCGCAGTTGGTATCTGGGGCTGCTGCTCTCGCAGGGAGTACGATTCGTTTGGTATCTGAACAGATCTTGCTTGGCTGCTAGACGATGAAAGAATAGTTCATGATGCTGTGCAAGTGCCATCTCTTGCAATTATTCCGTCATGTGGTTAATGCAGGTGGCAATTTGTCGATCTGCTTGTTTGTCTGTATGCTTGTATCTCTATCTATCTCTCTCTCTCTCTCTGTATCTCTCTCTTTGTTTCTCTCTCTGTCTATCTTTCTGTTCATCTGTTTGCTATCTTCTATCTATTCTATCTAAATACCTAAAGCCAAGCTATATCTACGCATAAGTGCAGTCGACCATTGTAGCTTGTAGCTGTTGGTAGACCTGTTGGCTTCACAGAAGGACCTTGGAAAATCTACCTCACGAAGTACTTGTAGAAGATGTTGTGCTCAGCGTCCAGCTTCTTCAGGACTTCAGGAAATGGAAGCTGTATGGAAAGACAGAACGCACGAGAGCATTTGCCTTACAGTCTCTAAGGTCTATGCTATCTACCTTAGAATACAGACTGTTCACTCTCTGGTAAAATTTGAGTCGACATATGCAATGAAGGAAAGAGTACCTGGACCCCAAAAGTATGTAGAATCATGGCCTTGTTATGAGTTTGCGGCTATTATTGTATTATACCTACTTTGGGGGGTTTAGGTAGGCATCGCAGAGAGGCGAGAAGCGTAACCCCGAACTGCGTGCTTTGCCGGGGCGGGCGGTCAGAGTTGGAGCTCCGGTCTGGGAGCTTTTTGGATTACTCTAAGGGGCCTTAATAGTTACCCATACTAGTTTGGGGGTCCTTATTACAAATATATATATATATATCATATTATTTGCCTATACTATCTTAGGATGCCTTATCATAATTACAGTATAATGGACCCCGAACCCCTATTTCAATTATTAAGGCCCCTACATTATTGTTCGACGCCCCTTTCGGAAGGGACGCCCTTCTTTTTCCTGCTTTGACTTACGAATCCCCGGTGTTGTGCGACAAGATTCCTCCTGAAGGAGGATTTTACGCCATTTTGCATCCCAGGAGGCAAGTCTTGACACGCGGTGTAGGGTTTGGGGTATTCCAAGACCACAACACTTCTGCCTGCTGCAGAAGTCTCGTGTGGAATCTCTACCCTCTTCTGACAGAGCAGGCTCTGCTCTACTCGTAGCCCAAACTCTCGTTTAAGCAGAGAGACCCGGTAGGGGAGGCTCAGACATATAAGACCCCAGCCCTATCAAAAAGGGCCCCGGAATAAGGAAAGGCTCATTCCCGAAACCCTTACAGTAGAAGCCAGAAAGTTGGAATATGATTATCCTAACCCCTTTATGGTAAATTATAGGGGATCCTACCATTAATCCATATTCCAACTTTCTGGAGTTCCCTTTAAAAGATCTCCAAACCCTCAAAACGCCAGAGGTCTGCGGGCTTCCGGCGCGGAGATTAAGAGCCGCAGCAAAAGCTCGGGTTTACGGATCTAGGAGGCTCCCGGGCCTCGTGTAATACCTATTTAGAACTTTGAGTTGGTACTTATGGTTACCAGTAAGAATAATGATTCACTAGTTCTGCAGAATAATAAGAACTGAAACATAGCACTAAGACAAGCCAGAGTACTCCTTGCAGCTAAAGCTCTAGGCAAGGTGCAATGTATCTCTGTCCCACTTCTGGCTTCCTGCATTCCACTTAGTCGGAGAAGCTTCCTGGGATGTGCCGGGGGCATATGTCCAGCGACTGGGCCAAGCCCAGCCTACGCTTTTCGGGCAAAACCGCTTTTGACTAAAGATGCTGCTTGGATCTCGGCGCCGGCAAGCTCAGCAACTGCTCCGTGTTTTCAAGAATCCCTTACGACTCTTACGACTGGGTTTTGGTATGCCCATGAAGGAGCCCTTAAGGGCATCCTATTATAGTACCCTTATCGTACCTTGAAAGGAACCCACATGGGCTTTGAAGTCTCCAGGCTCCCCCTACAACTACTAAACCCTAAACTCCTAAACCCTAAGCTCCTAAACCCTAAACCCTAGACTCTTAAACCCTAAACCCTTAAACCCTAAACCCTAAACTCTTCAACCCTCTAAACGTGCGGAATGGGTGAGCCCGCAGCCGTGAGTCGAAGCATTGTGGCTCTGACGCAACGAATTGTGGTTGAAGACGTGGTTCGCATTGAGTGTCGCTCTTCCCCCGAGGGTGCGAGCACTTGTCCAACTAACACCAAAGCCGGTGACTGAAATAAGGAGGGATAGGCCACTGAAGCCGACTGGCATCACGACCTTGCGCAAGTATTCGTAGTAGCATCAGCAAAGGCAAGACGAGCAACACCGGTGATACTAGCCGTGGTGGTCCTCGCAAGCCTAGTTAGTAGGAGAAGCCGTAGCCGAACCCGTAGCAGTAGCAGTAGTTGCGGTCGTCGTAGTGGGAATGGCAGTGGCAGTGATAGGTGCTGGTGGTGGCCACTTCCACCACGACGACAACAACTACTTAAAACTACTGTTGCCGCTACTGCGGCTGCTGCTCACAACCTACCTTTGTGGTCAGGCATTGGCGTTCCCGGTTCCCCCCCGCGGTATGGTCTCACAAGGCATGCGCGGAATCCTGGTGGCAGGTGTCGTTTGTGGAACCGGACCTTGCGATGATGGTTCAACCATGGTCGCAAGGATGGAGGGGCCTGCAGCCGGAATCCTGGTGACAGTTGCTTTTGGAGTTCGACTTCACAAAACTTACAAACGTCACAGGGATGCAGTGACTGGGAAAGCCACGCGAGCACAGAATCTGTGACCGTTGTCGGTTTGGCGCCTTGATGTTGCCATGCTCTCGGTGTGGAATGCCGCAAACACCCACACCCACGGGAAGAAGGGTTTTTGACCAGACGGTGCCAGCGACCGCTAATGTTCAGATGGGTGGAAGGTCCAACATGCCTGGCAATCACAACCTAGCACAGTGATCCCCCTAAACTTTAAACTCTATAAACCCTAAACCCTATAGCGGACTTAGTATCTGAAGCCATGCCTGCCTTGTGCGAGTGTTTGAGTCGAAACCCTATACCAGTGATAAGAATTTGGCAGAATGCTGGCGTGCCCTCATGACACTCGGACCATGAGACCACGAAAACCCAGGCCTGGAAAGGAGGAGAGCTTACCTCTGGCGACGAAAAAGTAGGAAGGGAAGCCCAGAGAGCCCAATACCCCTTAACTAAGGAATATAAGGGGATACATATTATGATTTAAGCTATATTCCTCAACTAAGGGGTATTGGGCTCTCTGGGAGCTTGCTAGAGGGGATCAGAACAAGTATACAACTCCCCAGGGCTCCGCGTATGGCGTCTCGTTTCCACAAATGAGGGGATCCTGTTCTGGGAAGACTAAACCAGGACATCCTATGTGGGTGGTTGTCAAA